TGCATGGATGAAACATTTATCTCTGTGATGTTATCAAATACTGTGGTGATCTGAGGCATTTACATTGTTATAAGGAGATAACATGGTGTTATATTAGTAATGTTCCCATTGCTGGCATAAGTTGCTATGTAATTTCCAAGAAATACCCTGCAGGTACATAAATAAGTCATGTCACTTCTGAGTGTATTCATTTTGCATGACAAAAAGCTTAAATTCACACTGTCCTTAAAACTTCAGGCATGGTTATTGTGAAGAATAGCTCAAATACAAGACTAGGTATAATTTTTGCATAGAGTTTCCCAGTCTTTGGTACTACTCACAAGCTATGTTGCATAGATATGAACCCCTCCTTTTGGAGACGGTCCTTTTTCTGTTGGATCAGGGTTTACCCATTTCCATCTTGTCAGCCCACCTTGTTGGCAATAAACAAAGATCCCTGCAGTTTTGGTAGTAGAATCTTCTCTACCATGCATGACTGACAGTAATTGTATGAAAAGTTGATTTCTTTAGGCTAAATGGACAGAGTAACAGAAAGACCAAAGGTGGAAGAAGTTCAGATAGTTTGTCTGGAGTAGGGGTGTCTGTAGGTGCATGACTTGGTTCATATCCAGCTATAATTGCTGAAAGATTTAGGCAACTTTTGGAGCAAGCCAGTGGTACATTTTCTTAATAGGCACCAATTCCCTTACCCATCAGAAGTATAAAGGTGCACCGGTGTCGGATTTTGCCCAAGGGAATATTTTTGGTGAAAGTTCAGGTGGGTTGCAGTAATTGTTTACAGGAATGTAGATACTTTGCACAACTTTGGAAGGAGTAAATCAGATAAAACCATGCTCCCTGTTTGCATTTTATCACGACTCCTACAGAAATGTAAAGGACACTTCTCCGGCAGCTCTAATTTCAATGTGGTTTAGGGAGGCGGTGTGATTCAGCGGGCTGGACAGGGGTTTCCTCATTTGTAATGTTATTTATTATTACTTAAGCCTGCTCTGAGAACTATGGGTGAAAACCTAAGTTATTCCTCCGAAAAAGAGACTATTCTTACTGGGACTCAAAAAATCACCTGAGTATCTCCATATGGTAAAATTCTTGGAGGTGGCTTCTTTGAAGGGAGGCAGGTGGCCAACTTTGGACCAAGGGATCTCAGCTGTAAGTCTTGGACCTGAGCAAATATTGTGCTTAATTGTTCATAACTGAACTGAACTACTGACTAGTTGTTGAAGGTACACAGTAACTTATAAAGAACTTTTAAAACATTCACCTGAGTGATGGGGAGAGGGGCTTTGGCCTAGATTTTTTTTATTTGGCTGAAAAATGAAGAGTTACTAGAAACTGTCAGCATAATGCCTTTCTCCATCCTTCTGCTCTTTGCCCAACCTATCTGAACCTCCCTCTCCAAGTGTCCTCCTCTGGCCCTTCTGACCATATTCCCCATGTCCTCCTGCTCTCAGTCCTAGCCTGTCATTTCTGGGGCAGCTGGGGCAACATAAATAGCTTGCCCCTGCCAAAAGGGAGGAGATCATGTGCTTTGTCTTCTTTCACTTGTCCACTTCCAGACGTACAAGACTCCTCATCCCAATTCGCTCATTTCCTTCCTTACTGTGCTGGCTTCTTTCTCTGTTTCATTGGCTTAGAAAAACTCCATCTTTGTACTAAACAGTTAAAAAAGACATATGTTTTTGATTGTTTCTTTTGGGCAGTGCCTGATTAAATAAGCCACTGTCCTCTCTCCTCCTCTTTGTCCGCACCCCTCCTCTCCTGGGCCAGCACAGATGCCCCTGCAGCCACGCTGGGAGCTACACTGGGAAGCCAGCCTTGGTTAGATGTAACCCAGCACCGACGAAAGGCTCTTCTCTCAGACAGGGCCACCACACAGATTTGGACTGATGCAACTGAAGGGCTGGTAGGAAGCTGATGATGAGGGATTGTGTAAACGCATGCCAAAAAAAACTTAGTGAAACTAGTCCTTATTTCCTTCCATGTTTCAGTTCTCAGTCTTGCCCCAGTCAGTGATTCTAGGAGCAGCCACTGAAATGAAAGTCCTTCTGAGTCCTTGCAGCTGGGAGCGGGGCTGGCAGTAGGAGCTGAGCCTGCAGCTCCACGTGTGCCGTCTTTGCAGCAATGCTGGCTTAAGGAGTTTTCCCTTCTCGTGTTTTCAGCATATTCCTGCCCCTGCGTAGCAAACTGGATCAGCAAGCTGCTCTGGATGAAGGCTATTTTCCTCCTTTCCTCCAGCCTGTTTTGGCTGGGATTTTTTTAACCCAGATGAGTGGATCCAGTTCACCGTGCGGCCACATCGGTGTGACATCTGTGGGGTGGGAATGAGTAGCCAGGATGGAGGGAATGTCCCCTGTAAACTGGCAGTGGCTCCTAGAGAGGGTTGTGGGGCCAGCCATGCCGCTGTGACTCCAGCAGCGGTACGGGGAGGGTGGCATCTTCAGAGACGTCCAGCGTTCCCCCTGACATGTCTTTCCTAAGCATGTGCAAACAGCAGGTTTTCAAACATTTACAACTTTGTATAAGCCCAGCTCAAGTGGATTTGAATGGGACTAAAGCCACATGGTTGACACAGAGGTGCTATGAGCAAGATTTCAAGTTCTTGCCTCAAAGCACGGAGCAACAGAGCTTTCCCCATTGTTGTTTTTTGCTAGCTTTGTTCTTGAAAACCAGCAAACCATTTTCCCAGTAATAATAGAAAAATACACACACACACACACCCAATTTGGCATAAATACCCAGGATGAAAAAGTGGCAGCACTTGAAAATACAGCATCTTATATATAACGGGGAATGTTGAATAATCTGCTACTACTTTACTAAAGCATAATGTATTTTTGCTCCCAGAAATGAATGTATTAAGAACTGGGCTTGTATTTTGTAATTTAGTTTGGAGACTTGTGGCATTTTCAGTACCGGAAAGTTTGGTGGCCTACCAATGACAGTATTTGTGTTGTACCTTCAAGATAATCAGTGAAATGTTAACTAGATAATCCCTGCTTTAAATGACAGTATATT